TGTGCAAGGAGGTCTGCAGATGAGCCCGGAGGACGCAGTGGGCAAGAGAGGAGGAGTTAGCATAGCGATAGGTTAGAGGCAGCCATAGCTGCCATGTAGTTAGTAGTGAGTGTGTGTGTGTGCTCGAGTGTTAGAGTGATGTGTGTGGGATATCCAGGGTGATCCAGTGTATGTGAACAGTGAGATGTTCGGGCGCTGAAGTCGCCATAGCCAATTGAGAGTGAACTCGTATCTGAAAGCCATCTCTGAGTTTTGAGTGGGCGCATGTCGCCAGTATACTGCGTTGCTGTTTACATGCATGAAAAGTGTGTTTGAGAACGAGTCTGATTGCAACGTAAGTCATCTCGCTGAAAAGAGATGGAGGGGTGTGGGCCTCTGTTTTTTCTTGGCCACATCATCCATGGCCATGCCTCCAAGCAAAAGTGGAGGGCCTACGGGCTCTCTGCGGACTTTTGCATTGGAGAGGTCTACTGGCTCTCTCCGACGTTAGTCTTTTGACCGGGTTTGTGGCTGGAAGGATTTCCGCTGTGGACTTGGTGCCTCACTCCTGGTGCGAGCAGTACAGGGCATTGATATTTGGAGAATTTTGGACTTTTCTTTTCCGCTGTGGACTGGTGCCGCGCTTCTGGTTTTCGCAGTACAGGTCGTTGATATTTGGACTTTTCTACGTCCACTCTATATTGACAGCTTTCTCCCAAGTGAATCAGCAACGGGCATCGTTCCCGTTCTGCTGTAGTCATACAGGTGCTCGGTTCAAGCCCTTCCGTCCGCATGTATCTATCTGCTAAAAGCTTGTGGTCATGTTACTTGTGATGTAGCAGTTTTGGAGTAGAACAATGTGTGGTGCAAGTGCTATGAACTTACTGATCATATCATGGTTGTTGTGGGCAGGACATTGCAGAAATTCATGAGAAGAGTGAGGATTTTGCAAGTGCTATGGAGTTTTATGAAATGGCTGGAGACCTATTTTCAGCAGAAGAGCAAAACAGGTTTTTGTACATTTCTTATGGCCCTGTTTTTTTTTTTTTTTTTTTTTTTTTTTTTTTTTTTTTTTTTTTTTTTTTTTTTTTTTGCGGCGGCAACAGCATCTCACTTGTCAAAACAGAGAATGAGACACATCATGGAAAGTTCGCAAGGAACTTTAGAGCCCATCATCTGATTCATCACTGAACAAGACAAAGGGGAAGAGCTGTCATTTGAAGCAGCAGAGAAATCACAATCAAATGTTTAGATACTCACACATGTGACTTTCCAGGATTTTATCAGGCTGCAATTGCAACTGAAGATGGTCCTTTTATGAGTGTGCCCTAGGTCGTTGTGTGTTTTCGAACATTGTTTCCCTTTCATGCACTTTGTTCCCATTGAACATTGTTTCCCTTTCATGGGCTTTGTCCCCATTGCGCACCCCAGTGTTCTTTTCCTCACTGTTTCCTTTTCACCCTTCATTAGATCATCCATCTTTCTTTTTCCTCAGCTGGTTATTTTTCTGTTCACTGAATCACACTGTGTGGCAAAGTTGAACAGCTGTTTTGTGATTATGCTCTTCGACATGTTCCTTTGTCCCCATGGTGCTTCGTTCATGAATTGTCACGGCTATCCGTTCTCTCTTCCGCTCCACGCTCTGCTTCTCTCACTCCTTGAAATTGTCACTCAGAACCCCAACCCCTCCCTTTGCCAGAATGATTCATGTCATCCTCAGCTTCTGTTCTTCATGTTGCCTTTTGATGGATCCAGCTTGTAATGTGAAATGAAGGTATTTGATGCCCCTCCGTCCCTCCCCTTCCCCCTCCCCTTCCCCCTCCCTCCCCTCCTCTTCTTCCCCACTTCTGCATTTCCTGGCAAGTGCAAGTGTCAGAACCAATATTGGTGGTTGGCAGAGGTCCTCCTCTGTCATCATGCGCGATTTGCTTTTCCAAACCTATGTGGTTTTTGCAATTTGTGTTCTGGAGTCGCTCCTCTCGAACCAACCCCTCCCCGTCCAATCTGTTTCATATTGGTTTGTTTTCATTTACGTTGCGTGTTTTTTTTAAGGTCATTTGGGTCTTACAAGTGTGGACGTGGATGTGGGAAAGCCGAGGTCATCAATTTTGTGAAGACTGCACAAATAGAAAAATTGACTTTCAATTTCGGACCTTTGTCGATTAATCTGATGTGGAACTTTGGGCAGTTCTGTAGTAGTAGGGAAACAGTATGTCCCTTTCTCAATGGAATCTGCAGAGTTCAACCCAGACTACTATCATTGCTGGTATCGGAAAGTTGTTGATGCTTATCAGCTCATTTATTATCCTGGTTTGTGCTATATGTTCTCGGCAAGTACTATTTCCTCGTGATATCAAGTAGTAGTTATGCGGAAAGCATGAGGTTCCTGCCAGACCCATGTGTAAGTGGCTGTCCATGCAATAATGAGCGATACGGTTTTATGCGCAACAGCGTCTTTGGTTGTTTCCTATCCCAGTTATATTGGTCTGGCTTTGTGCATGTTCCTCAGACAACCAGTACGTCCGAGCCTCCTTTTTCTGATGTCGATTTCTGCTGCATTTAAGTTCTGCTGAACTGGTGCGGGTACAAGGTCACGTCCTTTTGCCCGGTGGCGCCACACTTTTCTGTGCAGCAGGAACAAAATAGCTGGATCATTAGTTTCGCGATGTTGTTTAATTTCCATGCCAATTCAGGTGCATTTACACCAAACGTTTCAGCTTTTAGGTCTTCTAGTATCCCGGCTTATTTCTGCATGTTGTGCCTGTTCAGCAGAAGCTTAATCTTCTTCAAAGCGAAGTCGTGCAACCGTCGGATAAATCCAATTCAATGCTCAAGCAGCAAATTTGAACACGCAATTGAGTGAAGACACTGAACCGGAATGCAAAGAATGACTTGCAGTTATTAACTATAACAAGAGTCACACTGCCCTACTTCCTTGGAGTGCAAAGAACTAGTCGAAATTAACAGTATTGAGAGCTGCTATGTCCTTAACGTTCGTCTCGACTTTTTCTCTGGAGTCTTCTCCTTGGACTCGCCTCCTCTCATCAATCCTTGCTATGACAGGCTCTCCCCTCTATCAAGGAATTTTCCTCCCCAGCGGTGGCCAGCCTCTCCAACCTAACTAGAACCCTCAGTGGTCGAAAGCCACGAAATGAAGTCGTGATGAATGCTGGTCCCTTGTAGTCTTGGAGTCTGCTTCCTATCTGAGGTCTCTCCTATCTCCGAAGTGTCTCCAGTCCTGCTCCTCCTACCCCGTTTGTCCTGCTCTACTACCAGCTATGTTGATTGCCTACCATGGGTAGCTATGGCTGCCTGTCCAAACTTTCTTTCCTTCACTTGGTAGGAGGGCAGGATCCAATGTATGGGCTGAGCTCAAGGGAAAATGTGTTGCGATGGGACTGGCTGCCGGGATATGTTGCTTTGACTGGGACGCTGAGCCCCGGCTTGGAGTGCAAGGGAAAATGTGTTGCGATGGGAACTGTGCCCAGTAGGCCCTGGGCCAGTTTGGAACCTGGACTGTGGGGTGTGTGTGCGGTCTGTGGCCGAAAGTGACTTCTCCAGAATTCTTGACTCTGTGCCAGACTGGGCCTGACCCTTGGCCTACCCAAGCCTGGGGTACCTGAATCCAGGCCTTGCTGGCCTCAGAAAATCAGCTGGCTTGCTGTCCAGCTGCAGCCCCTTTCCTAGGGCTTTATGGGCTTAGACAGGTCCCACAACCAAGAGATGGAGTTGGGGCCTGTGGAATGCGGGTGTCTTTACCCTGCCCGCATCTGCACCATAGGACAGTCTTTCAGAACCACTGTCTTCTGAGGCTGCTATAGAGGATCTAGACAGTATCAGCCTGGCATGCATCACCAATTTGCCCTGCGTTTTTTTTTTCTCGAGTAATGACTTTCTTTTTCTCTCTGCATTGCGTTCTTTTGATGGGCCATGCAATGGCAAGAATAAGCTTCTCTTCATTGTGCTTGCTGTCATTGGCCTCTGAAATTGTGGTCGTTGAGGTGAAGGTTATGCTCATCTGTCGTTGCTTGTTATCCGGACGTCGATTATCGCTTCAGGGGCAGATGGCATCACACGTGTTTTTCACGTCTTACCTTATTTGCTCTCTTTTTGTCTGTCTCTATCTGTCTGTCTGTCTGTCTGTCTCTGTTCGCCCGTCGTGGGTTTTTGTGCTTGATTTCCACCTCTTGCGGAATGATGGGGTGGGTTCTCCAGCACAGCAAATCAATGCAAGCTCAAGGTGGCATCATTTGCGGCGCAGCTTGAAGAGTGAGTGGACCCTGAAATGAGTGGTGCCTGATCTTGTGTATGTACCAAGCACTGCTCTTCTCATGAAGTCAGGCTGGAGAAGAGGCTTGCCGTTTGTTTCCTTTTTGTCACTGGGATCGAGTTGAGTATGCTATGTATACAGAACACACTCGAGGAGGTGGGACGTGACATATTGTGAGCCACACATGGTAGTCTGGCCAACCGTTGGGGCCCCTGGAACTGTAGGCGGCCGACCCGCCTACGGTAGGCGTGACCGGCGCCGACCTGTAGGCGACCGGTAGGCACAACGCTGTTGGGAAAAAAAATAGCGGGGGTGCTACTGGGCCTGTTGAGCGCCATCAGCCTCACCGACCAACTTTCAGGAGGCTGGGCCCCGGGAAGCTTCGTAGGGTCCACAAAAGTGAGAGCAGAACAGCACTTGACACCATTTTGCTGCTCTCACTTGTGTAGAGAGTCGTTGTCCCAAACACCCCCTCTTTACTTCTGTTCTCGAACGCCCAAACACCCCTGTCCACCTCCCCGAACACACCCCAAACATACCCCGAACCTCCCCCCGAGAACCCCTGAAACACCCCGCAAACAACCCACAAACACCCCCTGAACCTCCCCAACAGAACCCCCCAAACAGCCCCTGAATACCCCAAACCTCCCTCACTCCCTCACTCCCTCACTCCCTCCTCCCACCCCCTGAACCTCCCCCACAGAACCCGCGGAATGCATGTGAGTGTGTGTCCATATGCTCGCCTGTGTGTGTGTGTGTGTGTGCGAGAGAGAGAGAGAGAGAGAGAGAGAGAGAGAGAGAGAGAGAGAGAGAGAGAGAGAGAGAGAGAGAGAGAGAGAGAGAGAGAGAGCTGTACGTTTTCATTTGCTGACTAGCGAAGAGTCCAAAATGTACTGCTCTCCCCTGTGCTTTCATTGGTGGAAAACACAAGCATGCAGAAGTAATAAGGGGAAGAAAAAAGAACTGCTGACCTTCAAGATGGGAGCAAGAATTCTCCGGCAAGGTTAACGCCTTCTGAAGGATGGACACACTTTATAGGAGTTCCAATGTAAAGGCAGGGTAACAAAAACTGCTCTAGAGTCTAGACCTTATGGGCTCAAGGCCACCTTTCTTCAAGACAGCCAATATGCTGAGTGCCTTGACCAGGCAAGAGCAATCCTAAGCCAGTGTGTTTCTCCAGGAATGCTATGGTTAGTTGCAAAGATAATGAGGAATGCATCATATGTTTTCAACGAAGGTAGTGTATGAAGTTTGAATTTCGGACGCATAATAAAGTGGAGCGGTGAGTAATTTGACCAACCAAGATCAACATCAGCGAGCCAGTGTGTTTCTCCCGACGAACTTTGTGGTTACTTTCAAAAGGCGTTGAGAGTAGGAACATGTGTGGTATGTCTAGAACAGAGGTGGCTTTCATGGTTTTGATGTACTTCTGTTCTCAACTGGGTCCAAAATTGGCTTTTAATAGGTTCCAAACTGGTTCCAAGTTGTTCTAAACTGGTTCTGGGCTGGTTTGGGGCTCTGCTTACGCACTGGGTTCCGATTTCAAGCTGGCTTTATGGCCTCAAATTGGTTTCAAACCTGTGTTAGTCCCCGGGCGGCCCGGCTGGGGGAAGGTCGCCCGGGTACCTTCCCGGGCGGCCTGGCCCGGGCAGGGTCCAGGGCGATCCCAGCGCGTAATACTTAAGAAAATAGGGGGGGGGGGGAATCCAAAAAATCCGAAAAAAAAAAAATGCCGTGTAAAATTGCAATACAAACCACTTTCGGCTGAGGACCACCTCAAAATTCCTTGTCAATTTTAAGATAAAAAATAAATGAGAAAACATGAGTCCAAATGTACCCTTTTAACTTTTAACCTGTAATGAACCCAGTCTGGCAGAGACTCATCTTTCGTCAAACACCAGCAGTCTCGGTATCTGCAGCATAGTCTCCAATTATCATGAAATGATATCTGAAACAGTATCTTATTACCATTAGACGAAGAGAGTGGAGGGGGATCAGACAGAGGAGAAGGTGGAAGAGATGATAAAAGATCACACAAGAGGAACCCCGTCAACCCCACTCCTCCGGGCTTCTTCCCTCTCCACGTCAACAACCAGTGTATGATAACAAGTATAATAATCCTGATCATACAATAGTGCCACGTGGCACTCTTATCTCGTGAAGACCATGAAGACACAGCAGATTACAGTGACAACGTCAACCTCAGGTGAGTACCCGATCCCAATCATCCACAGATCCCGATCTCCCTCCTCCTCACAACCAGTCACCTCATGTAGACAGCGTGGACAATGCCACGTCAGCAGTCGAGACAGGTGGCATATGCCACATCATCAATGTAGACCAGTGGCAGCGCCACATCAGCATGCAATGTAAACCAGAGGCAGTGCCACATCAGCATGCAATGTAGACCATAGGCAGCGCGACATCAGCATGCAATGTAGACCATAGGCAGCGCGACATCAGCATGCAATGTAGACCAGAGGCAGCGCCGCCTCCGCATGCCTGGCGCACAATGCAGAAAGCGCCAGCATGCTGTCGTCGTCGCCCACAGTGCCGGCGTCCAGCCAGCGTCTCGCCAGCGTCTGGTTGAAGTCAAGCCACCGTCCAAGCAGCATAGCAAGACTGAATGCTTGACCAACTCGAGGCCAGCCTTAAGTAGCATTTCTCGAGACTGTCTGGCCTCGGTTGCCTTTCCCACAGTCGTCCAGATTGACTCACAGCCGAGGGCCTGGATTGTGTATAGTTGTTGCAGACTTCCCCTTGGACCTGATGCTGTCTGGGTACATGCATACTAACAAATGTGTGTGTCTGACCGACGGCCTGGGCTGCGTGCATTTTGACTTTGACTGTTGGGATCTCCGACAGTTGACTTGGTCAACTGTATCTCGTCCAGGCCCTGAATCTTTTACTGGGGTCTTTTCCCCTGTTTTGGCATGGGCCTGGGTGTGGCCTGGTGAGGCCCTCAGTTTCCACGAGGCATACAACATGGGTTATTGCAAACCCCTTTGGTCACTGTTTGTACCCCCAAACCCCCCTGGATGACCCATCACCGAAACCGGAGTTAAGACCAGATTCTGACTGCTTAGGCCAAGCGCAGTCCTGGCCTGAAGCCTTTTTTTTTTGGGGGGGGGATCCTTTGACCCATTTGGTTTTGCCGGGCGAGCCCCCCTCTGCCCAACTGGCCCGGGCATGTTTTTTGTGAGTGCAGCACATCGTGCAATCAGACTCGTTCTCAAACACACTTTTCATGCATGTAAACAGCAACGCAGTATACTGGCGACATGCGCCCACTCAAAACTCAGAGATGGCTTTCAGATACGAGTTCACTCTCAATTGGCTATGGCGACTTCAGCGCCCGAACATCTCACTGTTCACATACACTGGATCACCCTGGATATCCCACACACATCACTCTAACACTCGAGCACACACACACACTCACTACTAACTACAGCTATGGCAGCTATGGCTGCCTCTAACCTATCGCTATGCTAACTCCTCTCTTGCCCACTGCGTCCTCCGGGCTCATCTGCAGACCTCCTTG